AGTAAATTTATTACCAGCTATTTTTAATATTTAAATATTTGATAGTATTTCAATTATAGCTACTCAACAATATTACTTCCTATATTTTTATTATTTTTATATCTTTTTCTCTTAAAATAACTTAAATATTTTACAATCTAGTTTACAATTTAAAATAATTAATTATTTTTAGCTTATTAATACTAAAATTCTACTCACTATTTTAAATATTAAAATATATTTTTATTTCCACATTAAAAGCTTTCAAAACAATTACTATCTATTTTTTAAAATATGTAATTAGATTATTAATCAAAATTCACAAATAATTTTACTCGCTATATTATTCAATATAAAATTAATATTCCATTTCTTCTAGTTATCTTCTTCCAATCCTTACCACCTATTTTCATAAAATTATTAAATTCCTTAATTCATAATTAAAACTATTTAACAATATTACTCGCTATTTTCAATTTTTATTTTATTCATAATTTAATTCCTCATTAAAAATCATTCTATAATATTATTACGGTCTATTTTAAATATGAAAATTTGTTCAGTATTTAAATCATTCTAAAATATTAATTACACTCTATTTTGAATTTGAAAGTTAATTCAGCATTTATTTTCTCATCAAAAATCATTCTAAAATATTAATTACTTGCTATTTTGAATATGAAAGTTAATTCAGCATTTATTTTCTCATCAAAAATCATTCTAAAATATTAATTACTTCCTATTTTGAATATGAAAGTTAATTCAGCATTTATTTTCTCATCAAAAATCATTCTAAAATATTAATTACTAGCTATTTTTAATATAAAAGTTAATTCAGCATTTATTTTCTCATCAAAAATCATTCTAAAATATTAATTACTAGCTATTTTGAATATGAAAGTAAATTCAGCATTTATTTTCTCATCAAAAATCATTCTAAAATATTAATTACGAGCTATTTTGAATATAAAGTTAATTCAGCATTTATTTTCTCATCAAAAATCATTCTAAAATATTAATTACTTCCTATTTTGAATATGAAAGTTAATTCAGCATTTATTTTCTCATCAAAAATCATTCTAAAATATTAATTACGTCCTATTTTGAATATAAAGTTAATTCAGCATTTATTTTCTCATCAAAAATCATTCTAAAATATTAATTACAGTCTATTTTGAATATGAAAGTTAATTCAGCATTTATTTTCTCATCAAAAATCATTCTAAAATATTAATTACTCGCTATTTTGAATATGAAAGTTAATTCAGCATTTATTTTCTCATCAAAAATCATTCTAAAATATTAATTACGATCTATTTTGAATATAAAGTTAATTCAGCATTTATTTTCTCATCAAAAATCATTCTAAAATATTAATTACTAGCTATTTTGAATATGAAAGTTAATTCAGCATTTATTTTCTCATCAAAA